TTCAACATCATTCTTGTTAATTGCCCGGATACACTTGACAGGGGTGTTCACTGACTATTTAAATGCCCATTTTGGGCAGGGAGGTGACATTTTTGAACCTCTCCTATGAGAACTCCGAATTCTGCAACTTCTTTGCTCACAGGGATTAATGACTTATTTGGCTTTGTTGACGAGGAAGCAAAACACGGGTAAATTTTGTTCTATTGTTGACGTAAAAATTGAGTGTAAAATGACCAAGAATTCGTAGAATAATTTCTAGAAAATAATAAATAAAAGGCGTAATTCCGGGTTTACCATCTTCTCCGTCATTGTGTATACATGAAATGCGAAAAAACCTCCCCACTCGAAGGTTGGCGCTTTCTCAATCGTCTTCGGTGTTGAGCAGAAGCCTAGAGGAAAAAATGATTGATATCCAACCCGTTTGTGAGAACAGTTATACCGGTTCGGTAGTCTGAATAGTTAGTCAAGTCTTAACTAGAGGGACACTCTATATGGAACCGTGAAAGTCAGCACGAATGAAATGAGAAATGGTTGGGGTCTAGGCTCTATGGCAATGACATGGGGCCTGCGATAGACTTACCTCCACGTGGTGTACCCTGGGCAACGTATACTCATACGGCAAAAAAGTCTATTAACTGGCAGTTGACTTCTGACTTCAAACTACCATGACCCCACTGTATGTCATTTCGACCACTTCAACAGTACTCATTTTACTTTACCCTTTTCTCTATCCTTGTGCCTGTCTGTCTCTTTTACATCATTGAATCACTCTTCTGTTCCCCCTCTACTTCTTCTCACTTTGGAGTTCCTCCCCACTGTGAGGCCCGAAATCAGCTAAAGGGCTAATGATAAGTATCATAAAGCCCGCTATTTGAAACAAATAAATGATAATGACATTTTCAGAGCACTGTGAGAAATTATTTCATGCCGGATCGAGAAAGCTAATTTAATTTTTTTTCGAAGAAATAATCATTTACCATGAGAGTTTAGCTATCACTACATGCTTCACTTTTATTAATGCCGAAGTCTTTGAACGTCACATTTCTCCATCTCATAAAATGTTTCACTAAAAGTTCTAAATCTCATGTTCAACTCGTATCTAGATTACGATCTTTCAAGTAAACAAACTTATGATAACGCTTCATCGTGAACTGCCTCATTAGACAACTCCCAGATGGGAGATAAAGGAATGATTGGGGTGGTGAATGGTGCTAATTCACTGAATGGTGAGGTTGAAAAGGTGATGCAGCTCAATCACCGGCTTATTGGTGGATTGTTGGCTAATATATCTGGGCAGTCGATGATATCAGAAGGCTGAAAACCACATTCTCATCTCCTTTAATATTCTGACTTTCATTGGCTGAACACACTCAAATTTGACCTTCCAATATCGTGGGTGGGGGGGGGGGGAACTCATTTTCCATTCCAGGCAGTTGTGACTGGAGTCTGTTCACACAACTCCCCAGTCGAACTGATTTATGCGTTATCATAAAACAAGATTTATAACTCCCAGGCTCTATTACTTACGACGAAATTTTGACATAATTACTTAACGCTACTTAGGCCTTTAAAAATATGGTAACATATGAAAAATAAGAAAAAGGAACGTGGAAACTGACAAGAAAAGACTGCTTGTGAGATATCGCTTTATAGTAGTCCTTAAAACTATCTTCCCATGGGATTTAAAGTTACCAGTTGTTTATTTATTTCAAATGGCTGGTTTTATGATATTTATCATGGGGTGTGCGATAGACTTACCTCCACGTGGTGCACCCTGGGCAACGTATACTCATACGGCAAAAAAGTCTATAAACCGGCAGTTGACTTCAAACTACCATCACCCCACTGTATGGCATATTCGACCACTTCCACAGTACTACATCACATTTTTTTCTAAATTTTCAACCTGCGTCTTTGAAACACTCTTCAGTACCCCTCCTCTCGACATTTTTTCACTTTGATGTTCCTTCCCCTCTCTGTGAAGCCTGAAGTCAACTAAAGGGCTAATGATAACCATCAAAACGCCTGCCATTTGATGTAAATAAATAAATGATATTTATCATTAGCCCTTAATCTTTGACTTCAGCTTCCCCCAAGAGGGGGGGGGGGGAGTACATTTATAGCAGTTAATTAATAGCAGTTCATTAGCTGTCTTCTTGCTTCCCAGTATCTTTGGCTTTCCGTCCTTGTCTTTAGGGCTGGACACCGAATCAGGTGGGTCTTCTCCATTTCCTCCTGATGGTTACATAGGGGGCATGTGGGTTGAGTGTATACTCCCAATCTGTGAAGGTGTTTTGCCAAGCAATCGTGTCCGTTACGTAGTCTAAACTCAGCAACGGCTTCGATTCTTGGCCAGTCGGGTATGTTGGAGAGTTACCAGTTGTAAATATGACAATATTCCGGGGTGTTAAGGCAACGCACTGGGGAAGGGAGGTAGGGAAGGAG